ACGAGGAGGCCAATTCAGCGTCAGCGAGGTGCTGGTGGCTTCGTCGGCGGTGACTGTGGAGAGGCTGTGGGTGCCTACACTATTGCGAATGTACGCGGCGCCGTTCGGGTAGTAGTGGAGAGCGGTCAGAGCACAGTCGATGCGACGCGGCCCCCGGTAGTGATGCCGCCCGCTGACGAAGAGCCACCCTGTGCGTTTTGTTCCAATCGGGTGGCAGCAGTATCGGTAGGGGAGCGCGACCAGTGGCACTTGGGAGGGAACGGGGATTACGTTGGGTTGCCTTCGCCCCAGAATAGCATTTTCCGCCGTTGACGTGCATGGAGAATGGGTGGGGCTGATTTGGAGGTGGGATTGAGGCGGAGAACGGGCAGGTTCGCTGAATCGGGGAGGAGGTGGGCAGCCCGTATGACGACGGACGGGGTCTACCGGCGCGCGTCGACGTCGTGGAGCAGGCCGCGCATGTCGCCATCGTCAGGATGGTGCCGGAGGGACGACGCGGGCCATCGGGAGCGCGGCCGTCCGTGAACGCTCGGCCTGAAGTGACGGGGGACTCGAGGGGCGGGGCAGTGACTTGGGGGCGGGGCGTAGGCAGAGGGGTACCTGCTGTTGTTGTGGGTCTGCGACATGGAGCGTGATGGTCCAACACGGTCCGATGGTGAGGAGAGAATAGACACATTGTCTTCCTGAGGGCTATCGCGCTCGTCCTCTCCTGCACGGTGGCCACCCTCGTTGTAGACGACAGAGGCAGGGCCACCGTAAAAGCCGATTAGCGCAGACTTTGGGCAAGGACCAACTCGCACTTACTACTTCGCCTTAAATCTCGACTTCGACGACCGAGACTAGCGACCTCCGTTGGCTGGGATGTGGCCATTCCCCGCGTTCATGGGATTTCGTGAGGCCCTATAATTCGTGGAGCCAGGGTTCGGACGATCGTGGACAATCGGGTGTGAGAGGGACGAAGCCGGCGATAAATAAGAGCAAACGTACAGGGGCAGCGGTGGGCATACGACGGCGTCGCGAGGCCAGCGTCGTTGAGACCGACGGCAGGCGGGAGAAATCTTGAGCGCGTTGAGAGCGCACGAGCAGATAAAGGGCGGGCGAGCGGTGGACGCGTCCGTTTCAAGTCAAGTGGGTCGAGCAGTCGGCAGGGGTCTTAGGGCCTGGTCTCCCGTCAATGCTCGCTCGCGGATCGTCGAAAGCACGACGCACCTGTCTGTCGACCGACTCTCAGCCTCTGCCTTCACCCGTCATCCGTCGTCCGTCGTCCGTCGTCCGTCGCCGTCTCCCACCCCGGTCTCGTGGTCTTGTGGTCTTGATGCAGCCCAAACGGCATGTGGCAAAGAGGCCGCCAGAGCAACCTCTCACCGCCGTGGTCCGGGGGCTCCGCTCATGGCGGGAGCCCTTGGCTCGAGGAACTCTCAGGTCGTGCGAAGCCGCCGTACCGTCTGCGCTCCGAGCACCGCTGAGAGGTCAGGACTGGACACCAGGTGTCCGCCGTCGCTCCCCTAGCTCGAGGAACTCTCAGGTCGTGCGTAGCCGCCGTACCGTCTGCGCTCTAAGCTCCGGTGAGAGGTCAGGACTGGACACCAGGTGTCCGCCGTCGCTCCCGGGGCGTCGTCTGGGGGAATTTTGTGTGTCATGCGTGGCTGAGGGCGAAAGGCGGACCACCACCATGGTGGCAGGAATGAGAGCAAAGCAGCCGCCCACGAAGCTGTATCGCATTATGTAGCGGAAGCGCGCAGCTGAAGCGCACGGAACGTTGTACTACCGTCTGAACGCGAGTGCAGAGAAGCTGGGTGGATGCGACAAGCTGCTTATCATGCCCGGGATCAAAGGTGCAGGAGGAGAACGCCGGCATTGCGGTGGACGATTTGGGGGCGAGCAATCGTGTCATCGTCAGACCTCCTAGTAGGCCAGTCATTGGCTCATTGCGCGACGTCGTATACCGTTTGATGTAAACGTACGCAAAGGAGATTACAAATCAAAGATGTCCTCATCCTCATCGTCCTCATCAATGCCCTGGTCTTCCGACGCCACGTCCCTTTCCTCTTCATCTATGGGCATCAATCTAAGGAGCTGGGGACCGTCAAATCCATTTCTTGGCGAGTATTATACGAGCACTGTTTACCTTGTCCAACGGTAATACGTGGATACATGATTTCTCGATGTTTGCTATCTCGATAGGCGTTCGTGCAAAGTGCGACACCAGTTGGTCGGCCGCAATAATGATCGGTTCAGCATACTCGCCGTAATAGAGTTGCCCTCCAACCAAAGGGTAACTCCTGAACGGATCGTGCTCTGCGTCGGCCGTGGTGAGTTCCAGCAGGGGCGTCACGAACAGATACGTGCATTCTTCAGGTTCGCTGGAGGTAGCGTATTTGAACACGTGATTGATACGACCCGCGAGGATGCCTTGTTGCGCAGTTTTTGAGCGAAACAACACGTTGCAGTCTTTCTGAGACTTCGAAAAGCTGCGGAACGTGACTCCGTGTGCGTACACGCCGTCACAGGGAACGGCGCTGTTGAATAGCAGAATGACGTGATCGTCTTCCATAGGGCCATCGTTGTATGATGCGTATCGCTGGCCATGGGTATTCGTATTGAAGAACTTGACGAGCGCCTCAAAACAGTGGTCGTCTAGAGCGGCAGGTTCTCGGGGCTTGTGTTGATTATGCGGGACGAGGCCGATACCAAGAGCATTTGCTTCCCGCAATCTGGTCCCCCGACGATCCTCGGTTGCGTCACGTTCAAATGCTTGCACGATCTCTGCGACATCTTCGCGAATCCGCTCATCGGCAGCCAGTACACGAAGGTTGGCTTCTCGGCAGCTCTGGTTCACGTATGTGATTTCAAGCTCGCCTAACCCGTTACATTAGTGTTCTAACATCACGCAGCAACATGTATACACCTACCGAACTTGGAATTTGTATTGCGGCGTTGGAGCTTGAAATTTTCACGTTCGGAGAAAAACGTTCGGATAGAGTGGAGGGGACCGAAAAGGCGGAAGAAGACTGGAATGTGCAAAGAGTTGTGCTGGTTGGGGGTGACGGTGAAGTCGTAGAGCTCGAGAGCCTTCTTGAGATACCGTGATGCAACTTCCTCGTACAGACTCGCTTTATCTTCCGACATCTCTAGAAGACCTCCAATGACGATCATGGTCACTAGATCCATGAAGTTGTTCAGCATGCCGCGCTCTCGTTCGTCTTGACCGTGCCAAAGTGGGATGAGAACAACCGGTAGATTTACGACACAGAATGTGTGCCATTGATCGGCGCTGAGCTTGCCTCTCGCTTTCATGCCTACATTCGCTGGAACAGGATTCATCCAAGAGGGCAGCAGAGTTTTCGGCATCGCTTCATGAACCTTTTGAAGAAGATGTCTTCCGAGGACTACTACTGATTGACGTTCTCCTGATCGAATTCGGTCTGTGAGCTGGCAAAATAGAACCCGCATGAGTATCGGAGCGCATTCCATGGAGAATAAACTAATAGTACCTGAGCTTGGGAGGTTGAATCAGCAATCATCTCGGGCACGATGTCATCTTCCGACATTGGCGACTGGGGGGGGGAATGCGAGCGTTTATGAATACGGAGACATTTACAAAGAAGACCTCGATCTTACCCTTGGTGTGGCTTGTGGGCTAGGAGAGTCCAATGGTTGCATTGCGGGGGATGTGGCACCCCGGTAAAACGCACGTACTGGGTCTTCGTTGTGCGGTGGCTCGGACGCGCGTGGAGTAGATGTACTCGATGAAGATGGTGCGGAACTGGGACCGGCAGTGTGCTGTGGTTGTTTTTTCAAGTGAGAACTTGCTGATGACACGTACAGTGTATGTTGAAGTGACACACCTGCCAGAAGCTCGGGCCATCTGGAGCGAAATTGCCCTTACTTTGACGTCGTTCCTGAAGGGCCCTGTTCAGCATGTGTACAGTACATATAGACGGGTACAAGGACCAACCTCTACCCACGAAATCAGGGCGTTGATAGCGTCATCTTTCTTGTTACCACCCGGGCTGATCCCAAGCTCACGGCACAATGCTTGTAGCGCCCCCGCGGCGAAGTTTCTGCTTATACTCGAGGATGCTTTTCTGTCCCGAAGTGCCTTCTTAAGAAGCTCGACGCTGTCGCGAAGATTCTGTGGGGCTGCGCTGCTATGCGTTCCGTCGGCATTGCATTCAGTACTACCCACGGATGGCTGGTTACTTTCGCGCTGTGCGAGTCCGACGTTCAATTCATGGCAAATATTTGTGGTGAACACGAGAACCTCTACAGTACAGAACACCACTCACCCAATCCATAAGTGCATCGACCATGCTCCTCTTCGTAGCTTTGTTTTCTGGCACAATTTTGCGAACTGAGCACAAATACAACAATATAGGTTGGCTGCACTTCTTGAGTGACGTTTTCGAGCCCTTCGTAAGCTGAAATTCCGCGTTGCGAATGTCCTCCAGATCGAGAGGAACTTCTTCTTCGGGCTGACCGTCGTCGCCGTCCGCAGCCATTCCCCACAGATCTCGAACATGGAATTGTAGTAAGCCAAGATAGTGGTTGTGCATGGAGTCGACGACCGTGTAGAGAATAGGATCCCAGTAAGGAAGCTCTAGCAACACAGAATATCGGACGCTATTCTCCCGGAATGCCCTCTTCCTTTGGCTCTTGCTACTCTTGTCGCGCCAGGCCAAAGCGGCTTCGCGATGTTCTTCGCGAGAACGCATCGGCCAGTTCCTGAAATCGATGTTGTTGCGGTCCTGGTGAAGAAGCTTACAGATGCTGCAGAAGTACTTGGCGTTGTGAGCTCCGAAGCCCGATACCTGTCGTGCGGCGAGCAGGTCACAAACCACAGGCACCAAGGCACAACGAGCAAGCCGTCCGGACGAATAGTTGAATGTGCGGGAATAGAAGACTCCAGTGCGCCAGAAAACAAGCAAGTCGTCGACCACTGGTTGAAGGGCGTGGTTGATTTGATCGACGGAAGGCTTCGTAGGTCCAGGTATGACGCCCACAAGAAACATATTCTCCGGAAGATAGCGTTGATGAGGTGGGAAATTGAGACAGTACATGTAGATCCCAGTTACTGTTACCACTTGCTTCGCCGTCTTGTTGTGGAAAGGGTTGAAGCCATCGATAGCCAGACCAAAAATGTAACGACCTTCCGTGGGGGGAGCGTTCACGAAGAGACTGCCGTCGTCCATTTTGAGCTTCCGAAAGACAGGGGCGTCCCAAATATCCGACATGATTGGCTTCGCCTCGCCTTGCGCACGCCTGAGCGTCTTGTCTAAGACGTCTTCCGTCCCTTTCCGAGAAAGGAGGCGACCGAGCCATGCCTTCATGTCGTGGTAGATGTAGAGCCGTATCGGTTTGGAGAATTCCTGTCCTTGTACGCGCTTTGTACGAACCAAATCCGCTCCGCATGCGGCACTTGTCCTTGTTTCTTGATAGGAACACTTCTGCTGGGTCTTGCCAGAGTAGAGGGCAAAGCAAGATGGACAGCAAACGTAGGGGACGGTGGTAGGCTCCAAGTCGAAGCGCGCGATGATCGTACGGATGTCGATTGGTAGATTGTTGAGCACGCTGCGCTGCTGTTCTACCGGCTCATGGCTCTGACAGGTGGAGAGCGACCTTAGGTTGGCGAGAAGGACGTGTTTCAAGGCCACAAGAAGGAAACGGCTGGTGCGTCGTGTAATCCGATAAATGAGATGCAGGACGAGAGCTGTGACGTGATGTGCTGCCACGAAGGGATCCGTAAGCTGTAGAGGACGGAAGTGACGTGCTGAGAAGATATGCAGTCAGTGCTCGCACTATAGTAGCATAAAATGAAGTCTGTACCAGTGTCTACTGAGGGGGCGCCATGCTGCCGATGCATGGCGGTGCCCTTTTGGCGGTACCACTCTTGCTCCTTGATGCTTCTCAACCGAATTCGCTCCTGATGGAGGACATCTTCCATGAGGATGAGGTGCTGTTCGATATCGGGCTGCATACGGGCCGCCAGATCGGATACATAAGTCTGTGTTGCGACGATCCACGCGTCGTGTCGCAGGATACGCTTGTTACACTCCTTGGAAGGGTCCAATGCTAGAAATTGATCGATTTCCGGATGGAGATGGAGAGGGAGAGCTTCACTCTCGAGATGCATGGATGGATGGGATAGGAAGGATAGCGCGTCGTCACAAGTAAATAGACTGCATTCATGTTCCACATATGAGAGTAGGAAAGCAAGATCCTCTTCATTTGGGCCCAGATCAACATCTGCAGTGTTTTCTGCTCCGGTAGTTTGACCGGGAGTCGTTGTAGGCGGAAGTGGAGTTTCGGGCGGCGTAGCTGCCAGTGGGGGTGGAAGGGAGCATCGTACATCGTCTTTCTGGCGTTTTCTTGGAGGTTCTTCTCCCGATAGATTGTCTTGAGAATCGTCCGCATGACTCGCTGCGTATATCTGCCTTCTTTTCTGTTGATATCTAGGTTTGCGGCCTATTACAACGTCAGTATAGCCCAAAGATTAGATTAGTGGTCAATACGAACGCCTTTTATGCTGGTGCCCGCTTGTTGACTGATCGGAGTCGGATGAGGGATCAAGAGAGCCTGAAGAGCAACATTGAGGGCTGATGAGATGATTCCGATAGAGATCAAACACACACCTGATGCCATTCGGTCTGGGGCACCGCCCCGTACTCGGAACCGGATATTTAATGTGGAAAGGTTCTGCACCCCAATAGTGGCAAGACGAGTGTGTTCGGAGATGGGAGAGTGACTGAAGGGATCGAAGTAGACGACAGGATGTATTCGATTGCTACCAGAAAGTATATGTCGACGTTGCAATGCCCACAAGATATCCGATATCGTCCATTCTGGGTGCACCACTGCGAAACCTTAGTCAGTCCACGAAGCGCTCACTGAGATCTGCAAGCGTACATAACGGGATCGACCGAGGACCCACGCCGAGAATGAACACTGTGACATGTCGCTTGCCGCGGCGCTGTAGCACGGCCTGGCGATCAACTGGGGGAGGGCGACGAACGTGTGGATGAAGATCTAGCAAGGACTTCAGATATTGACTTATTCCACATACTAAACGAAAAACTGACAGAAGGCAATCCCACATATGAGCAAGAGATCCATCAAAGGTATCACGAACAGGGAGTGCATTTTCCAACACTGCGAGGCATCTTTTTGAAGTTCGATCGTAGTAACTTGCGCAACGAGTCCAAGGGCCAATCCCAGCCAAATCGCCAACAATTCATCGATAATGGTAGAGGCCCGGCGTGAGGACGAGGCCTTCGCGTGCTTACGGCTGCTGAAGCGTATTCGATATCGAGGCGCGATAAAGCGTAGTGGCATGACTGTGGATGGGACTGGTGTGGATGGGAGGGGCCCGACTCATGCAGCCCGAGCAGTTGTGAATCGCCGGCCCCCGGGAGCATCCGTTCTATCGGCAGGGTGCGGATGCATCCCGTGATCCGTGATACGCGCCTCCGTGGGCGGCAACTAGCGGTGAGGCCCGCCACGCGTCACTAGTACTCCCACCGTCCTTTATCGACATCTCCTCCACCACCCCGAGCTCGGGCCTCGTCGCCTTCAGCCTCCCAGTCCAGGCAGACGATAGCGGCTACGCAGTCGTCTGTCGTCTGCCATTGGACCCCGGTGCCATCTGGTGACACCGTTCAACTCCCCTCCCCCCTAGGCCTCCGCTCTCGACCTCCTCCCACCTTCTCGGCCGCACTCACAATAAACAGTCTGGAGAGTGGGATATGGGGACCGCGGCGATGTACCATGGCCCCTATTTTGGTGAGTCCTCCGCCCTCCTGCATTCCCAACGCCCACTCAACCCCCGTCGACCACTACAACAGGTCGAGGACGTCCTCCTCCCTCCTCGCCCTCCTCCTACACCCCGCTCTCCTCCGCCCACGTCGCCTGCCTCTGCGCCGCCCTCCTCCTCACCCCTCGTCCTCCTCCTCGACCCGCACCTGCCGCTTCCTTCGCGCTGCCCGCCCCCTTCAGGACACCCTCCTCTGCGCCGCCCTCTTCCCGCATCACCCGCCTCCTCCGCGCATGTCGCCCACCTCCTCCGCCTCCGCCCGCGCCACCCTCCTCCACAGCGCTCCTCCGCCCGCCTCGCCCTTATCCGCACTGCCCTTCATCCGCCTCGCTCCTCGCCCTCCTCCTCGCCCGCTCACGTTGCCCTGTTCCGCCCGCGCTTGCCGCCGTGTTCGCGCTGCCCATCTTCGTACCGCTCGCCCCTGCGTCGCCCACCTCCTCCGTGTTGCCTGCCTGCACGTTGCCCGCCTGCGCGCTTCCGCCTTGCAGTCCCACGCTCGCCCACCTGCTCCGCGTCGCCTGCCTCCGCTTCGCCCACCTTCGCCTGCGTTGCCCGCATCTGCGCTACCCGCGTCTGTCTTGCCCGCCTGCGCCTTGCCCTGCTCCGCGCTGGCTTCCTCCGCATCGTCCTCCCCCGCGCCCACGTCGCCCTTCGCCTTGTTCGCCTTATCCTGACCCTCCACCTCGCCTGCCTCCGCGTTGTTTTGTAGTACCATATGATCAATATATTTTTATTAGAGATAACACACTAGTAAAGAGTGAAGGGAAACACTTAAGAGGCGGGGGACGTCGCGAAGCTCACAAGACCTCACACAGTACGTTATAGTACTTCCGCCGACGGTGCGGCTGATGCGTCTAGCACGGCCCACTCGCACAGATGTATTCGTGATTAAAGTGATCGCAAATGACGCCTCCTTGGCCCCCGCCGCATTTCTAGATATGTTGTTGCCACTAGCTGCCTCCCATTTCGTTTAATCGCGACAGGAGCGACGAACCCGCCTGGCGCACCATTTCCGTCTGAGCGGCAACCACGAGTATCCCACGTTGGATAGGCAGACTTGCCGACGATGCGGTGACGTTCAGAAGATCGCCCAGGACTGCGATAAGACCAGTGAGTTAAAAGGCGTGTTTCCTTGGCGTACCCTCCACCCTCTGCCTACTTCCGCTACCTACTACATGGTTCGAGGTCACTCCCCCACGCGTAACGACAGATCTGGGAATGAAGACGAAGACACCCGGCGACAGAAAATACCCAGTAACAAAGCTGGCCAGAAGAGCCCTCGAGAGAAGCCCCGACCGAACCCCTCCGTCTTCCCCAGATACCATGGTAAAACAGCATCCCTTGCTTCTTTGTTCTCCTCCGTTCATGCTCCTCCATACAGGGACTAAACCAATCCCCACCGCTCTCAAGGCACTTTTTGACGGACTCAAAGACACCGATATCGATATAGAAGTCTGCTGCACTGGCGATGCAGACGTCCCGCGGTGGGCAGTCGTCTGCAAAACCTGCGAGACAAAGGTGCGCTTCACTCTTCGCCGCGCTACTCGCTCCACCTCGTTGACGGCTCCCCACAAGCCCATAGCAGTAACTGAGAAGAGTATTTATACCCTCTCCTCCCATCTCAACGGCCAATCTCACCAAAAGGCTGTCGCTGCGCACCGACGAGGGATGGCCTCGCTCCGCGGCCGCGATTCAGGCGTATCGAGCGCCAGTACCACTTCCGCCCGCCTCATTTCCACCACGAGGCCGCCAGCCCGCCGGAACACGCGCTCGCCAGTGGCGCAGTCCTCCTCATTGCAGTCGGCGGTCGTCCGCGATGCGGATGACGATGCCCACAGGCGTGGACGGACGGCGCCAGGAGATGGGGGCGATGACGGGAACGTCCCTCGCACGCGTGCGCGACGCTCTAGCCGGTCGGCATCGCCGGACGTGCGGACGCGCCGTAGTGCTGGAGAAGAACCCGACGCTGTGGCGCGGTTCTGTGGCGCGATCGGACTGGCGTACGAGCAGGAGAAGGTACTCAGAACGCTGGGCGTCACAAGTGAGTCGTGGATACGGAAGCTTCGTACGCTTAAGGGAGACGAGAAAGACATGTTCATCCAGATGATGATCATGGCGGGATTCAAGCCTCTTCATGCTCTGAACGTGTTTTCCGAATGTATTGATTAGAAGAGGAGAGTGTCTAGGTTAGGACGGAATGAGTATATCACAGTACGGTACCTCAATTCGAGAAACATACGACGAGCGCTTTTTCGTTACATAAAACAAGCATCGCCGCCCTTCGCGCGGCGCCCCTTCATGCGCAAATAAACGAATGAAAACAAACGATCTGCACGTCGCGGGCGCAACACGGTGAGCGTGTCGGAAGGCAGGGTGGAATCTGTGCCAGGCCCGCTCGTGTACGCTCGAGCTCGCGCTCGCGCACCTCAGCGCAGTCCGTGCGCCACATCTCCTCTACAGGCGTGAACCGCGGGTCCTCCAGAACGTCGCCGAAAACTATACTGGTTAGGAGGCGGCCACAAGTGACATAATCACCCGCGCACGCGCATGAGCGGTCGCGGTGGAGGCACGGCGGCGCGCATCGGGGCCACGCGCCGTCCCACTACGTGCCCCCGAAGTGGGGTAAGTCCCAACTTTGAGTTGATAAAACCCCGGAAGGCCTCCATAAGAAGGGGCAAAGTTGCAGTAGTGGTGAAGGTGTGGAGATGGTCGGTTTACGAGTCTTTGCACTGTGCCTTGCACAACTTTGCAATCGACGGGTCCGTAACGGTGGTACGTGATGCGCACCCACGGCGTCGCTCCCGCTGTCTAGCACGTTCCGAACCCTCTGCCTGAAGCGCAGGACGATAATCGATATGATAGATAGTTCGGTTAAAAGTAAGATGCTCTGTTACGGCACCTCGACCCTTTGGCGTCCACTCGCGCCATCGCCTTACTCTCCGAGAATGTGTGCCGGAGCATCTCGTCCTGATCTTCGTGCTCTTCGTCGCTGGCAGCACGGCGCGCCGCCCGCACGTGTGTCGTGGCGTCGATGCACGCGATCTCGTCCACGAGCTCCTCCTGTAGCGCCAGCTCCTGCGTGCGCCTGCGCATTGGACGGGCCGCTGGTGCGCGACGCTCGCCGCCGCCGCAACGGGGTCGACGGGCTCCTCCTAGCGCAGGCTCGGCGTGAGGAGACACAGTCGCCGTCTGTCTCGCCGTCCTCACCTTCCCCGTCTGTAGGCCCGACAACCTCGTGGTTGCGCTTGATGGGGCTCTCTGATGCTGTGTGGGACGGGAAGCGGGCCAAGGGCGCACCGGACGTCAACGCGGACGGGGGCACGGCGGTGGGACACGACCTGAGGGCGGAGGGAGGCGGTAGCACGTAGTCGTAGTTGCTGAATGAGACCTGGAGCTGCACGTATTCGTCCTTGTGGCCATCAAGCGCGGAGGCCTGGCATGAGGCATGTGGAGCCGTGCGGGATGTTGTAAGGGCCGCAAGATGCCTGCGACCGTACCCAACTTCGTCAGGGGCGGCAAGAGCGAGTCGGGCACGGACGAGGACAGACGGAGGCGGAGGCGGCAGTTGTACTCGTGGTGGAACCAAAAAGGGTCGGGCACGGACGGGGAAGCGGTAGACGACGCGGAGGTGGGCGTAGAGGCGGACTCGGTGGCGGGTGGCAGCGTCCCTTGAGCTCCGCGTTCTCGTGCGTCCTCTCCACTGCCTGGTCCACAGGCCAGATATGCCTGCCCGCGGTCCAGTGTAGCTCTGGCATGAGCTTGTACATCTTCAGCACCTGGTACAGTATCGATTCGCCGCCCTTGAGGTACACGTTTTCCGTCAGTATGTCGCTTCTTCTCGGCACGCTCATGCTAGACAGTACTCACGCCGGGCACCAGCGATTCCGCGACGACCTCTCCCGGGTTGACGTCGTAGTCGGCAGTGGGGTAGAAAGCGATCTTGCGCCTGCGCGACATGTTGAGCACCGGGGAGAGCAGGTAGAAGAACTGCCCGCTCGGCGTGATGAGCGTGTCGGGGTGGATCCCCGCGGTGCCGAAGCTCTTAAGGTGGATGGCGTAGGCGAGCGTGGGGCGAGCGACCGCACGCACCGGCTGCACCTTGTACTCGCAGCCGGCGATGAGCGCGGTCCACTCCAGGTTCGCGCCCTTCCCGCCGCGCCCGTGAAACTTCTCCTCGCGCCCCTCCGTGCTGCGTTGGCGCAGGCGGTGCGGGACTTGACGAGGAGCGTGACAAGAATCTTCGTGACGCAGCTATCGGGCGGGCGAGCCCGTTTCCCTTCGGCCAGATCTCGAGCTTGTCGCGCACGATGGTGAGGTAATGGCCGACGGGGAGCTAGCGGAAGGGCGAGTTGCACACGGCGTCGAGGATAGGGTGGTTCACGCCCGAGCGTCGCAGTAAGTGGGAGGATGGGCGGGGAGTAGACCAACTTGGGCTCGGCGTATCCGTCTACTGTCGGATGCGACAGACATGAGGCGATGGGCATGCCCAGCGCGGGGGGCATGTCCACATCAACGTCGATCGGGAAGTCGAGCGAGTAGGTAATCGCAGCCTGCACGCGGGCACGGTAGTCAGGAACCCTTCACATTATCCCCTGTGCAGCGCGACGAGAGCACACCTTTTTCTGAAGAAGAGCGCGAGCTGCACGGTCCATGAGCACGCGCCCCGAGACCGCGAAAGGTCTTGATTTTGGGTCGCGGTTGTCGAAGAGGAACACGGGGAGAAGCGTGCCGTACGGAGTGCCTAAGATGGCCTTCGTCGGCTCTTGCACGGATACGGCGAGGATAAGCCCAACCGTTGAGCCCCATTCCTACCAGAGGACGTGGTGGGAAATGCTTGCGGGATCCGCCCCCGGCGAAGACGAGACACACAGGCGGTGTAGGTGCAGTCGATCTGCGCGCGGAATGTCGCCCCGGGGATGAGGAGGACCGGGCTCAGGTTCTCCGAGGCGTATAGCGCGAAGCTGACGGCGATGAGCGCGAGCGCGAGGGAGGGCGGTGGGCCCGGAGGTGAGAATGTGGAACTTGAGGTCTTCGTGTACTGAGGGGGAAAATCGCGGACAGCTTGGAGCAGTAGTCACGTGGTGTGCGTCCAGTCTCGACAAGGAAGGCAGAGAGCAGAGGAGGGGAGCGGCTGGGGCAGCGAGGCGAGAGGAGGAGGAGTTCAAAGTTGATGAATTCGGCAGCGCGACTCGGAGAGCAACGCGCGTCACATACTCTATAGCCCGCGTGAGAATCTGGTTGGCATCTGCCAGCGCCTCAACTCGCCCGTCCGCCTACCACCTTGCTACCACCTCTGTCACCATCGCCCCTCTGCCATCCGAACTGCCCTCCTCTCCAGATGCACCTCAACGAGCAGGATGCAAATTCCAAGCCACTCATGAAGTGCTGTAAGCTGAGGCAGCCTGCCTGAGAACACAAGTTCGTACACCCCTCGAGCTCCATCCTCCATCCTCGCACTTATTGCCCACGCATGCTAGCAATCACACCAAGCACTTCACTCTCGGGGCCGAGTTCCACCCACGATGCACACGCCCTCGAAGTGTTTGTCCTTTTGCTCTGCGCGATGTTGACCACGCTCAATCTGCTCCTCGGCCTCCCTGAGGTCTCGGTCGCGCACATGCCATGCACGTTCTTTGCGCCCGACGCCAACGACCAGGATCCCAGCCTACCCAACGCCGCATACGAGCCTGCTGCTGTCGCCACTTTGTAAGCAGACTGCACTAGTTTTCCACCTCCACCAGACGAACACTAACCTTGATTTTGGGTCATCTCAAACAGCGCATGCCGTCCGACGTCCCGGGGACGACTTTCGGCGCTGCGTTCCACCCTGCTCTGCAAAAAACATTACAACCATCCTCGCCCCCACCGACGGCCTCAAACGGATCAGGGGCGCGGACGACACTTCTGCGGATCCAGTCGCGTTTGTGTGGCTACTCCCGCAAGGTCCGGACACGCCCTTAGTAAGTCACTCAGTATCCATGGCTTCTACCTCCTACCCCTCAACCTGGCTCCAATGCCCCCCACTCCACCCGCTAGGCCCAGTGCTCACGGCCGCGGGGCTCGGCTCCGGTAAAAACACCTCGAGAACAGTACGCCTGTGTCCAACGACTAGCCCGCGATGGGACGATCCTCGCGCTGATTGCATGCTTCGTCCAACCTGCAGCGTCCCACATCCAAGACGTATCAAGTCGCGACACCTTCAGCACACGGGAGCAGGTTGCGCGGCCACGGGCCGCGTTGCAGGGACCGGCGCGTTGCCCAGGCGATACCCGTGTCGCCAGCATTTCAACCTCCTGGCGCCCTACGCGTCACCCTCCACGTGCCTGTGGATGCACCCACTTTGCTAGACAATGGGACTTCGTCCCAGGTCATGACATTCACCTTTGTACTTTCAGCATCACTTATACTGAATGCAGGCTCCCATCGACGCCCTCAGTATCCGTCCTCTATCCGCCATCGTTCCGTGCCCAGACCTCCGCGCCGCCATGTCCACTCCCTGGTCCAGGTAGGTTGCGACAATCTAGTGCAGCGATTGCTGGCTCACATTCGCGTCGTAGCCAGTTTACGATGCGCACTTCATTTGAGAGCACCGATGTGTTCATAAGCGAAACTCTCCGCCTTGGGCGCGAAGTCGACGCCGAAGAGTCCTACCGCCAAGTTTGGCTCTCGGTAGTCCGATTCGACGTAACCAAATGTGAGTACGTCCCGGAGGCTGCACAGCGCTTATCTGACTTGTCCAGACGTCTTTATCGCGTACGAGATGCACGATGGCTCCAGAGTCGACCCGATCGATGTCGCGGTGGTGTTGGCATTTCCCCACGACAAAATCAAGATCGTTGTCTCCGAGGTATGTGTCTTCCGAGTGCCAATGGAGTCCACTTCAGGCTGACGGCCCCCAAGCCAACGCAGGCTATAGCTTTCACCAGCGCTTCAAGGTGGTTCGTGCTCCACTTCGGACAAACAGATGATTTCTGGTTGGTGGTGCATCAGATTTCCTCCATCAAGATGCTCGGCATTGTCGCTGAATATTCCAGTGACGATGAGGGGTCTGTGTCAGGTTCCTCCAGCCTGTCACAGGTGCCGGAGCTGGATGAAAGTATTTGATGGTGCTTGGTCGAGAATTCAGCTGTGCAAACATGTTTCCAGTAATCTGCAATCTGCATCGGACATATTACCCAATCCAACTGCGAGTTAACAGTATTCGACTCGGCGTAGGTAGCATTCTACAGTGCTGCGCGGATAACATGTCAGATACTCTGTGTCCGCTTCGTCTGACCTGTGGCTTCCGTGCGCTGGCCCTTGTGCTCCTTCAACCTTGTCCCCCATCATCTGACCCTGCAAATGCACGATCTCGTCCGCCACCAGCGGCAAGATGACCATGTTCGAGTCCGCGGGTGGAAACACCCGCCTCCTCGCTCACATCGCATTCTCCGTCACAGGCTCCCGGAGCTGCGGCAGCGCCAGGTCGTGTGCAATTTCCACACATGCCCACCATTCGTCCTGCGGCATCCCCTGGTATTCCATGCACCACGGAGTGTCGTACGTGATGCACTGTACAGCAAAGAGGTCGAGGAACGCTGAGTGGGTTCGTGCCGCCGACGCGTGGGACGAGCTGGAGTTCGTCGAGGCGGAGGCGGCCGGCCGGCCGGCCCGATCAGTAATCCCGCAAATGTCTGGTTGCCTGGACTGCCTGGACGAAAATTCTCAGACATTTCAGAGAGCCGCCAGGCAACCAGGGCTCAAATCACGCAGTGAACTTCGGGCCCTCAATAACTGCACTAAGGACCCATAAAGTTACTTGATATCTTAAGTACAGCCGAAAGCGGGCGGAAACACAACTGGGTGGCACTCTCCCAATCCCCCACCTTCCTGGACGCCTCCCAGAGGGCATCAGCATTCGCGCCTGCAGCTCGCGCAACGAGCTCCAGCACCACGGGCTTCATGTCCACGAGAACAAGCGGCAGGTACCATATTAACATCGGCGTCGTGCGGGGCCGGCACATGCGAGACGAGCCGTCGCGTGCGCGCGCGCGCGCAGGGCGAGTCGCGCGTCGTTTCTGGCGCGGAGGCGGGCCGGGCGCGCAACGAGCGCATCGTCGAGCAGTTCAAGGGCCTGCAGGGGATCGACTCCGGCTTGGACGAGGCACGTGCGGCCGTCCGGGCGATCTACAGCGAGATCCTCGACCATCCGTTCAAAGACGGAGAGAGCGAGCTCTGAGAGCTTGAGCTGGGGCGCAAGGTTCGAGGGAAAGACGGTGGCTTGTACATGTATGATCATGTGTTCGGAGACGTGGCGCGTTCATGTCGGACAAGGTGTCGTGGTGGTTTTCACGCGTGCGTCCTCTTCTGCAGGGTTTCGAATTTGTGCATAGGCACTCCCCAAGCCGATACGTACCGCAGAGAAGGGACATGCACATCTCACAAAGCACCGTCCATGCAGAGAGAGCGTCTGCGTACCGCCCGTGTATCGCTTGCAGGACTCGGCTGGAAAGGTACCAGAGGAGTGCTACTACGCGTCGATCGCGTCCTGCGGCCCACTCCACAACGTGTCCGCGCGTTTCGCCCTCGCCTTCATGTTCGCCCGAGCCGCGTCCCTCGCGAGGCTCTCCAGAGCGGACATGTGGAACTTGCATAGCGAGCCTTGACGCCACGATGTGCGCGACGCGTGCTTGAACGTGCGCGCAGCTAAAATGTTCGCGTGGTCGACAGGCTGGGGACGTGTCCACCGGTCTGGGCCTAGGTGAGTTTGATGTTGAGCTCGCAGAGGTGAAACTTCTAGGGGAAAAATTTGTATACACCAGGCTCGTAGTTGATAAGCCGGGGGTAGTAGGTATGGATAACTTGCAGCTGCGGCGCAGAATCAGCAAGTCGGACTGTCTGCACTGAAGAGCGACACACACCAATTTGGAAAGTTCGCACTATGCGAGAGGACGGTCATCCAAGGGTGTTGACTGAGTCACGAGCAGGGGGCTAGGGTATATACTGTAGAAGGGCGTCATTTCGGAGGATTTTACGGGTGGTGAGCCGTCTGCACAGACTCGCATGAGCACACAGGGGTGGATGGAGGCTCGGTGCGTCAGAGAGAAGAGAAGAGACACACCGGACTGCCCTACACACCCATAATCATACCACGCGGAGCGGCCGTAGTACCTCCCTTTGAGTATGAGTCTTGCGTGAAGCACGACCACCAGGTAATCATCGGCGATCAGCTTGTTCAGTGAGAACGTGGACGACCGAAGTATGGACAGGACACACCTATGGAATGGCACTGATTGTCAGCAACAAAATCGGGGCAGGCCGCGCGGTGTGTTGTGGGGCAGAGGGTCGTACGAGAGAGGGCGAAGCTTCAGAGGGAGGAATGAGAGCAACACACGACGGTATGTGGCAAAGAGCGAACAGACGCGCGTACGCGCACGCGTCGAGTCGCGGAGGCAGGGGCTCCAAACAGCGCCGCATCTCTTTCCTCCCTCCGCGCTCTCCAACCTGGAATGGCCCCTCCTACAACTCCAGGTATGTCCACAGCCCATTCGGACCCTCTGGTGGCTGATGTCGACTCCATTTCAGCCCCAGTGAGAGCTCGCGCAGCAAGACGAACCGGAGCTGGCCGAGTTGAGGTACGTCGCTTTCCTCCTCCCCCCAGTTAACATCCTCCCGCACGCCTGGCCCCTCGTGGACGCTCCCACCCCATCCCAAGCCGTGCGTAGCGTTCCAAAACACCTCTTTCTATTATTGGTGGTCTGGGGCCACCGATTTTGGTGCATATATGCGCCAAAACCGGTGGGTTTCCCCTGTGATCCATCGTCATGCACAGCAGGTCGCCCAGCGGGGCGAACATCGCAGCCGTGAACGCCTCGTTGAGCGCGTCGAGCGCGCCGACGCCATGCGCTCTTGTGTGGTGATCACTAACGCGCAGATGGTTATGCACGCATCGTGTGTGGTCGGCGCACCGATTTTGGTGCATATATGCGCCAAAACCGGCGGGTCTTCCCTTCACGACACCATCTCACGTGGCAGGTTACCCTGCACCGCGACCATTGTCTCCAGGAACGCTGCGCGGAGCACGTCAAGTTGTGCTGGGATTGGCTTTGGTATCTCCAGCGCCCCGCCTCCCTCGGCCGCCTGCACACCGCCTCCACGTCCGACCCAAGCACTCCGCTCAACTTCTATGGCGGCTTTCCTAACAAGTACGTCCCTAAAATTTCTAATGCGTGCTCGATCACCCACGCTGACCGACGACAATGGCACCGGCATCCCCACCGACAGTTCCGCGGACCCCACGTCGCACAGTCTCTCGTGTGAGTTCGTGCGCCAGATGCCGTCCTACCGCGGCGAGCTCGACTGTGCCAGCCGCCGCACCGCGCGCGCAGGCTCACAACGGCTCGGTCCCGATCGACGCGCTAGACCTGACGTACAGCGCGGAGGAGTGGGTGCCGGAGCTTGTGGACGAGGACGCGCACGATGGGCAGCGACCCCGCGGCCGGAATCTCCGCGGCACTGCCAGGCCCCGCGAGTACGACGAGTGCCGCGACGGCACCGCAGGCGACACCACGCGCTCACGGCGGACGCGCAGCACGAGCACGCCGAGATCGAGGAGGTCCCGGGGCACGCTGCGGGCGCCGCGGCTACGGTCGGGCCAGCCCACGCGGCCGCACTGGCAAGGCACAGCGAGGCGACGACGGCGAGAAGCAGGGGTGCGTCCGCGCCGCGTGCGCGGCGCGAATCGTGTTCAAATACAGTCCTTATACTATCGTAATAGCAATTGTATCGATCCCCACCATATGGCTCCGTCCGCTGCGTGTCAAAACCAAGCTGGAATGCTACCCCGACCCGCAAGCGAGGTTTCCTGGCTGTCTAGTTGACATGTCTGGTTGTGTCTGGTTCAGTGCCCTACGAAATGCTGTCTGGATTTTTTGCACTTGTCTGGGTTCGTCTGAATCACCCAACCAGGCAGATCTAGACAATCGCGAAATCACTGATCGGTGCGCGAAGCGGCAGTGCGCACTCAGTGTCACGTGTGCCCTCACCGCGTGATTGATAATGACATCAGCAAACGAGATCCCGTGATCAAGGTCTTGCACCTGCAAGTTTCGCGAGGCAACTGCCAACTGCACAACCGTCGACCGATACTACGCCGTCCATACTCTCTCACTCTCCCCGCCCTTACCCTCCATCTACTGAACATGTCTTACTTGTTTGTTCATCGTCGAAGCGTTCTCATGAAGCTCTCCAAGTGTCATGATCACCCATCCTCGTGTTGGTGCCACTGAACACGAGCCTATGCTTTGTTTCTTCGGTTCCGCAAGTGGCGAAGCCAACGCTCACCTCCCTCTATCTTGCACCCACCTCTTGTCAGATCTACCCACCACTCTTATGGCTCCGACAACATACCTTCAGCGTAAGGCATTACTCCCTGTTCGTTGTTCCGATATCACATTCATGGACCTCGTCGCAGGTGTACGAATCGCCCTCAGCAGTGCTGTCCCAATGGGGAAGAACAAAGACAGTGTTTCTTTGGAAGAGGTGTGCATCGTAGGTGAGGTGCATTCACTGACCCCCAATATTGTCCATGTTTTCACCATTTTTCTCTCAGTCTCAAGGGCATATGAGCTTGAGGGTACGTTGCCCGGACCAAGCTACAAAAGATTCGTGGAGGCCGCACTCATCCGTGAGGTTGTACTATTCAACGCCCATTGAAATCGTTTTGGGCTCGCTAATGCATGGTTTCAGGTCAAGTCTCGCCATCTTGAGAAAGTCAAAGGGGAGGCCCCCATCACATTTCGCATCACACCAGCGGGACTCGTTTTGTCAGTAGTTCGTGCCCTCTGGTTTACGTCTAACTCTGATCAGGTAGGAGTATGGCTCTAGCTATAGGTCCTTCGGCAAATTTCCCTTGTTTTCAAGAGGTGATCCGGGGCTGGAGCGCATGTCAATGCGAAAGGTACGCTCAATTTGGTCGCACACCGCTTAACGTTCGAATTTATGTGACAGATCGCTCGACATATACGCGTGCTACGCGGTGTACTGGAGGAATGTCAAACTACGTTGAGGCATATATACCCTACAGCGGGGGAGAAAGACTCCCTTGTGTCTATGGTGCGTGCTTAATATCACAATGTCGGATTCGCAGGGTGGCCTGAATTGATCCACGATTGCCTAGACCAAAGCAATGATGGTTGCGTCCGAATTCGAAGTGAACCAGGTTTGCATCATGTCGTTCGTCGGTTTCCAGAAACTAACGGTGCTGCAGAACATCGAACTCAACAAGATATTGGAGGAACACTGCAACAAGCAGAGGAGCTTGTACGAGTGATACCTAAGCAGCAATTGTTCATTTTGCGCCCTGTCTGTACGATGCTCGCTCTAGTGACAGGGGTTATCCACAGAGTTTCTTTCACGCCGTTCCAACTGGCCAGGTGTGACGGTCGCACGCGGAGCGAAAAGGCGAAACCAAGAAAGGAGCTATGTTTCTCGCTACCGTAAGACAGTGCGCAGCTGCTATCTAGATACCATGGTAGACAAAAGTCGAGTACAGTAAGGGGCCTGGCATGGGCGTGGCGAGAATGAATCATGCAGAATGTACAATGGAGAGCCAACCCCATAACCCCACTCCCTCTTCAAGGGAACGACATCATGAGGAAGATATAATTCTAAAGACAATGCGGAGCGCGATGGCAAGGCGGCGTGGCAAGGCAGGATGTGAAGTTAACGAAGTGGAAACGTGGTGGCCATGGAATGGAAAAGAAGGAGTACATGGGGACGGGGCTGGAGTACGTCGCGCGCGGCGCGCGCGAGGATGGAGCGCAACCGGGTGGTGTCGGGGAGAGAGATGCGAGGCAGCAACGGAGGTGCACGATGGCGACTTCGAGGACGCAGAAGGGCAGCGACGCGCCCGGGAGCGTAACGGACGGGATAGGAAGGGAAGAAGAAGGGGAGGACACAAGGCGAAGAACGAAAAGCGTACTTGAGAAGACCAGCGACTCCGATTGTGAACTGCTTTCGGTGTGCAGCTTCTCCCTCCCTCAGCGGACGGATGTGGTGCTTGGGACCAGTGGTGGCGTGGTGGAGATCAGAGGTTGTAGCGAAGGAGCCAAATGGGACGGCTGAGCGGGTAGTCGAAGTCGAAGATTGCGCGGGGGAAGCGTGGCAGGAAATGTGAGTGGAGAATCGAGAGGGAGGAGACAATCCGGAGGACTCGCGCGCGCTCCGCGTTTCCCTCCTAGGACTCTAGTAGGACTGAACACGTGGGGGGCTACAGTGACCAGAGCGCCCCTTCTTCCTATTATAGCTCGAGGCCGACCGGCTGCGGCGCAATGTGGAGCTACTTGAAGACGGCGCCGATCAGTGATTTCGCGATTGTCTAGATCTGCCTGGTTGGGTGATTCAGACGAACCCAGACAAGTGCAAAAAATCCAGACAGCATTTCGTAGGGCACTGAACCAGACACAACCAGACATGTCAACTAGACAGCCAGGAAACCTCGCTTGCGGGTCGGGGTAGCATTCCAGCTTGGTTTTGACACGCAGCGGACGGAGCCATATGGTGGGGATCGATACAATTGCTATTACGATAGTATAAGGACTGTATTTGAACACGATTCGCGCCGCGCACGCGGCGCGGACGCACCCCTGCTTCTCGCCGTCGTCGCCTCGCTGTGCCTTGCCAGTGCGGCCGCGTGGGCTGGCCCGACCGTAGCCGCGGCGCCCGCAGCGTGCCCCGGGACCTCCTCGATCTCGGCGTGCTCGTGCTGCGCGTCCGCCGTGAGCGCGTGGTGTCGCCTGCGGTGCCGTCGCGGCACTCGTCGTACTCGCGGGGCCTGGCAGTGCCGCGGAGATTCCGGCCGCGGGGTCGCTGCCCATCGTGCGCGTCCTCGTCCACAAGCTCCGGCACCCACTCCTCCGCGCTGTACGTCAGGTCTAGCGCGTCGATCGGGACCGAGCCGTTGTGAGCCTGCGCGCGCGGTGCGGCGGCTGGCACAGTCGAGCTCGCCGCGGTAGGACGGCATCTGGCGCACGAACTCACACGAGAGACTGTGCGACGTGGGGTCCGCGGAACTGTCGGTGGGGATGCCGGTGCCATTGTCGTCGGTCAGCGTGGGTGATCGAGCACGCATTAGAAATTTTAGGGACGTACTTGTTAGGAAAGCCGCCATAGAAGTTGAGCGGAGTGCTTGGGTCGGACGTGGAGGCGGTGTGCAGGCGGCCGAGGGAGGCGGGGCGCTGGAGATACCAAAGCCAATCCCAGCACAACTTGACGTGCTCCGCGCAGCGTTCCTGGAGACAATGGTCGCGGTGCAGGGTAACCTGCCACGTGAGATGGTGTCGTGAAGGGAAGACCCGCCGGTTTTGGCGCATATATGCACCAAAATCGGTGCGCCGACCACACACGATGCGTGCATAACCATCTGCGCGTTAGTGATCACCACACAAGAGCGCATGGCGTCGGCGCGCTCGACGCGCTCAACGAGGCGTTCACGGCTGCGATGTTCGCCCCGCTGGGCGACCTGCTGTGCATGACGATGGATCACAGGGGAAACCCACCGGTTTTGGCGCATATATGCACCAAAATCGGTGGCCCCAGACCACCAATAATAGAAAGAGGTGTTTTGGAACGCTACGCACGGCTTGGGATGGGGTGGGAGCGTCCACGAGGGGCCAGGCGTGCGGGAGGATGTTAACTGGGGGGAGGAGGAAAGCGACGTACCTCAACTCGGCCAGCTCCGGTTCGTCTTGCTGCGCGAGCTCTCACTGGGGCTGAAATGGAGTCGACATCAGCCACCAGAGGGTCCGAATGGGCTGTGGACATACCTGGAGTTGTAGGAGGGGCCATTCCAGGTTGGAGAGCGCGGAGGGAGGAAAGAGATGCGGCGCTGTTTGGAGCCCCTGCCTCCGCGACTCGACGCGTGCGCGTACGCGCGTCTGTTCGCTCTTTGCCACATACCGTCGTGTGTTGCTCTCATTCCTCCCTCTGAAGCTTCGCCCTCTCTCGTACGACCCTCTGCCCCACATTCCCGTATCAAGCGCTCTTCGCTTCCAGCGGACCCAACAACGCGAGTTCTTGGAATACCTCACAGGCATCACTTCGTCGTCTTCGAGGCCTGACGAGCTCAGATTCCGGTTCAAGATGAGCTTGCGCTTCTTGGGCGAGAGCGCTCGGTCAGTGACGCAGGTGGAAACTAGATGCAAGTGAAGAGGGGCCGACCAACACCCTCGCCCCGTCCTCATCCTCGTCCGGCCGGATCTCCATGATCGATTGATCCCTGGTGCGCGCACCAACCTCGGTCCCCGTCTCGCCCTCGAAGTACCACACCCATGCGCTGCGGTTCACCTGGAGGCTCACGCACCTGTTATCGGCGAGCGCGAGCGCGGTGCACACACGGGCCCGGTCTGCCCATGCAGTGTGTGCGCAAACGTGGTCTTGGGCACTGCGGATGTCGAGCTTGGGGTGGTACAGCTGCAGGCCTGATGCAGAGTGCAAGGTCGCTGTGGAGGTCGACCCCGATCCTGTCCACCACCGCCAGGATCGTTGATACCGGCACCACGCTCACGCTCATCTCCTCTGGTGCGCCTCCTGTTGAGTCTCCAGTTTTTGCGCACTCACACACATGGTCGTGGCCACACACACACAGACACGCTCACGTGGTACATGGCTGCGACGGGCACCGTGAACGACGTCAGGAGTCAGGATGGGGCTGCTTCGCCTCATCAACGCGCGGTTCGCGAACCTGCAGTCCCTCTTCTTCAACATTAACGGCGTCCGTATCCCCTCCCTTCCTGCGTATCGCTGCCTGTGCTGATATTTGCGTTCTCGCATCGCAGGTCAACTTCGAGTTCACACCTAACGCGCAGATCTGGCCCGTAAGTCTCCCTTGGAGTTCCCCTCCCGTCCACTGACGGCCTTCATGTCAGCGCACGCTCAACGCCGCGATCGGCGGGGACAAGAAGAGCATGTACCTGACCGTGAACTCGACCGGGACGCCGACGGGCACGACTTCATCAACGGGATGACGTGGTGTCCTGTTGCGCCATTGAACAGCACAGGAGGCGCGGCTTCCACCGCAGGGAGACGCTGCCCCTGGGTGAGAACAACCGTCGGTTTTCGGGTTGCTCTCTCACTACTCGCACATTATACGCAGGCGGTGCTCGTCGAGCCCGCCATGTGGGACGTCCACAGTGCGAGTCGTGTGCGTGCTCGTGACGCACATCCTGTCGAGGGGCGAGCACAACCTTGTGCTCGCAGATGGGATGACGTTGCGGGAGCCTCAGATTGAGCACGTCAATATGTACATAGATTGTTATTCGCAAATATTGAGCCCTGGTTGCCTGAATGCCTGACGGATGTCTGAAATGCCTGGAACCCCTTGCCCAGGCAATTCAGGCAACCAGACATTTGCGCAATTACTGATCAGCGCTTTAGATCTCCGTTCTGATTGATGGAGCAACGACGATTGGGATCAGTCTAAGAACTCGCCCCGGTGCAACGCTAAGGTCAACCTAGGTCAACGCGCTCGCCCCCAGTACTGGCCTCTCCTTCGCCGTACTGATCGTCATACGCTCCAGTCGCCCGACTTTTCGTTGAGCCCAAGTTAACTGCGACGGACCTCGCACATACCCGGCACAGGTACCGTGCTTCCGCAAAGGAGATTCTGCTCTAGGCCTGACCTGGCGTTGTCGCCCCGAGCTTGGCTCCGGCCGTGCCAATCTTCGACGTCTCGACGTCGGCTCGCACGAGTCGCGCAACATCCCCATTTGAAATTCAGTAAGTGGAGCTCAAGCGGGGTCCCGTCTCGTCGATCACATCGACGACGATGCGGATATGCGACCACGTTTTCCTTATATGTGAGCATCACTTTCGTCTGTTTCCCGTTCACACTGATTTTCCCCAGGGCTTCGCAGTATATTGGACGGCATCAGATCGGATCTGTGTACAAGCTCGACAGGTGCGTCCCTCTTTCTGGTCCCGCCCCGCTGATTTTGTGCCCCCGATATACGACGGCTCTCATCCTGACTCCGCATGCTCTTCCGTCGTCGAATGACTCCAGCGCTCTCGGTAGTGTCACAACGGGAGAGGCCATGACCACGCATTGCGCTCTTCAAGTTGGCCACTGAACGATCTCGTGCGGAGTCTGCGGCTTTGACCCGGCGTGCCTCGGACGCTGATACCGAGTATGCAGTTCATTTCTCACCGGCGAAGACAACAGCGACTGACACGACCCTATGCATACAATGTTGCCACACCCGCAATGGTTGCGCGCACGGCAACGCAGTGCGTACAGGGGCCGCCGCGAGGTGCAGAGGAGTCTCTGCGAGTACTTATCTCGTACGCAGAGGGGCCATGTATGTTAGCACTGAAAGAATGCATATCGTTCGATGTCATTTCCTGACTATATGTGACTGTCCGTTCGACTAATAGTCTCTGGCTGCGCGAATGAACGGAAAGACTCACTCATCCATTGCATCTGCGTAGGCGTGTGCCGCAGCCGAGCCCATGATCGGGGCGACGCCCCCGGCCCAGTCTCCTGTTAGTGTTTCCCATCATGCGTCTATCCTCTGTCCCCAGTGCCCACGCATTGATAGACATGCTGCACATGCCTATGAAAGGTCCTCACGAGGGCACGATCTCTCAGGGCCTCCCGCACGATGCCGTGGGGAAAGAGTTGACCGTCCATGTTGCGCCCAGAACCCTTGGAGAGGAGGGGTTGGTAATTGATCAGAGCTCAACCAGTAGTGCATGAACACCGCTGGAAGCGCCGAGAAGTGGGCAGAGAATCACAGGCTCTGTCTCCGCAGTTCGCGCTTCATATTGTGTGTTCGAACTCGGATCTTGCGCGTAGAATCGTCTCTTAAACAGCAAAGCCAACATTCTCGAGGGATCGGTGTGCTCATACAAGCACTATTCGCCCATCTACCCTGTAGCTAATGGCCCGATTGATATAAAATGGCACTATTCTAGATGAACTAGTAAGTAACTGGCTTGGCGAGAGTTCCCTGATGCTTGAGCTCGACATTCACGTTTAGCATTCACGTCCAGATCCGCTGCGCCTGAGGCCTGAGTACTGTCAATCAAAGGCTGCCGCCGTCCACCTACGGTCGTTGCCCTGGAATGATGATCCCGTTCATGATCAAAAGGGGGCACAGCGTCTGCGAGCCCACGGCACGCGTTGTATGGAGCCGAGGAGAAGACTAATCACTGTGGCGGGTGCGGAACCGCGCAATGCGCACACTGTCGGAAAGCGTAAAATGATGCCGGAAAGCAGCAATATGGGCCGGAGCGCCTGTCGGGCCGCGGTGCCGTTCACCTGCCGTGCCCGCTGTTTTGTTTGCCCAAGGAGTTCGCTTTCAACAAAGGTATTCTGCATCCCCTTGTCCAAGCTCGCCCCCCCACAGACAATCATGATTCCAGTGCTTCCTTTCTTCGGTTGTTTTCCTCCTCAAGTGATTGCTTTCTTGGGCCGATCGTGAGTTCTTGACCTTCACCAGGCTGCATAACACGCCTTCCCTCGTTCTCGGAATGAAGCTTTTCGCGTCTTTGTGCCTTTGACCTCTTTTCAACTTCCCGCGCACGTCAGAGACGCTCCCGCGTATACTGTTTTCATCTGTTTTGACCAGACTCAAAGAAGCCCTCAACACCTGAGCCAAGACTCTACCCAAGCTTCCCAGCCTTCCCCCAGCATGCAACACTGCTCTCCGTTCATACAGGTTGCGAATCTGTCCGAAGAACACGACAAAACCATCAATTGTTTGTCTTTCTCGGACGACGGATGTCTCCTTGCCAGCGGTGGTGACGACAGGAAGCTCGTCGTCTGGGATCCTGCCCAGGGAAAACCGAAGTGTCGCGTCATCTTCGAAACCTCTATCGACACTCTCCTATGGCATCCCATCTATTCCGGATCTCTGATCGTTGGCCTAGGAAGCGGCGATCTTCAACAGCTGAGTGGCTTTGACTCGTTGGTGCGCTTCTGTCCACTTCTTCTCGTGGGCTGGGGACAAACATTTTTCGTTAGTGCGACTACCAACAGGCTGAGATCCGACTGGGAGCCAAGGAGGCGATACATTGTATGGCCTACGACACCACCACCAGATGCCTTGCGGTCGGGATGGGCGGTCGTGTTTATGTCACGCGTGAATGCCAACGCAGTTGAGTACCTGCCTTACCAAAGTTTTTCTTTTATTCATAAACGCTGCGCCGTAGATGTGTATGCTGGCGTCGTCTCACTCCCTGATCCTCTATCTCGGTCTGGAGACGTACGAGAAGGCCCCACCGAGGCGCGTTCCTCAGCCAAGAAAGTCATCGCCATGGATGTCTCGTTCCATAACGAAGGCAAGAACCTCATTGTTTCTTACGTGTTTCATGGTATTGTGTACGCGCAGATTTAGCTTCTTTGAATCACGACAACTAATTACGATTACAGGTGTTGGGATATCAGTGGTCAAAGACGTGTATGGAAAATCTCGCCTGCGGTGGCTACTCCGACCATGTAAGCAATCCGTACGGCTTCACACGACACTCACGTTGACTTCACGTAGAGCTGGCGCATCCCTGTTCGCGCCATTGAGATTGCTTGCTGTCTATAATGCGACCAGTGGCATAGACGTGTACCATATTGCCTACCATGGCAAGCAAGCGCCGCGCAAGACATACGCACTCGATGAGCGTCCACAGTCGAAACACCATCTACCCGTGCTGTTCATAAATAAAGGGGCCCAAATTTTTTGCGGGACAACCAATGGCAACGTACGCGTCTGGGACGTCGCCTCAGGCAATATCTTTCAGGACTTGCATCATGATAGTACGTCTTTGTCTTGTCTGCTTTGCAACCTGTACTTACCGCAGAGGTTCGTTAGGCGAAGTTGTACAAGCGATCAGCGTGAGTACTAGATCTGTTTCATTCAAGCCCCTGACTGACCGGCCCCTAGGCTTGCATGAAGAACAACAAAAGCTACATTGCGACAGGATCTATTGCTAATGGCGGGCGTCCTCAAATCAAGGTATGGGCAGCGACTCTGGGTGAGTGATCGTGATTCACAGTCAGTCTCGATCCACTAATTTCTATCGCAGTGGACTCTCGACAGAAGGACGATGCCATCGATGCCATTGCAGAGATGTTCGACACTATTTTGGTAAGAGAGTGCTGCTCTGTGATGGCCCGTGCACTCACTCGCGTGCAGACAAACAAGTTGTTCCATCCGACTGATGCCGTTAAGCACGGCATAACCGTGTTCTCGGTCGTTCTGGCCGGGTTGGTGATGCTGTGGTTCATTGCATGGCCTTGCTGGTTTCTACTAGCGGACTTTTTACTACCCAGGGTATGTGGTCCCTGTATACGCGCCGAATTCCAATCTCTCACACGTCCTCAGATCAGCATGGGGGTGGCATTGGCGACGGTCTGGGGATCACATCTTATCACGTGGCTCGGTACGGTGCTGCGGGGCGCAGGTCAAACAGCAGTGCATACGTCGGCCTTGTTGCGGAGGTGGGCTCTGAGAACAGCACTCGAACGTCTTCTGGTGTTGCAGGATTGGCTGATTCAAATGGGCGGGGTCGAAGGAGGAGGAAGGTATATGGCACTGATCGAGGGTCGGGTTCTGTAACCGGCGACTGGAGGGACTCGACGAACGCCGACTGAGGGCCTGGCGTAGAGTGATGAAGCACTGGTACTTTGATTATGACACGAGGGTTGAAATCTCTCCGCTGATCGCGGTAAGACAGTGAGTGAGTGTGTGAGGGAGAGTGTGCGTGCGTGCGTGCGTGTGTGAATACATGAGAAAGGATATCAAGATTGGAGATGAGATGAACAGGCGAGGAGGGGTTCTCTGGTGTACGTAGAGGTTTGGCGCCTCCCTAGCAGGCGCTTGAGCCCTCGGGCGCTTCTATGGAGCACTTGTCTCCCATCCCCACTCCAACCGTCGTAAGGTCTCTCTCTCACCACATCGCATGCATCTCCCAGGACAGTTCCGCGCCCTCGGCCACGCATGGCACACACAATTTCCCCAGAAGACGCCACAGGAGCGACGGCGGACACCTGGTGTCCAGTCCTGACCTCTCAGCGGTGCTCGGAGCGCAGACGGTACGGCGGCTACGCACGACCTGAGAGTTCCTCGAGCTAGGGGAGCGACGGCGGACACCTGGTGTCCAGTCCTGACCTCTCAGCGGTGCTCGGAGCGCAGACGGTACGGCGGCTACGCACGACCTGAGAGTTCCTCGAGCTAGGGGAGCGACGGCGGACACCTGGTGTCCAGTCCTGACCTCTCAGCGGTGCTCGGAGCGCAGACGGTACGGCGGCTACGCACGACCTGAGAGTTCCTCGAGCTAGGGGAGCGACGGCGGACACCTGGTGTCCAGTCCTGACCTCTCAGCGGTGCTCGGAGCGCAGACGGTACGGCGGCTTCGCACGACCTGAGAGTTCCTCGAGCCAAGGGCTCCCGCCATGAGCGGAGCCCCCGAACCACGGCGGTGAGAGGTTGCTTTGGCGGCCTCTCTGCAACATGCCGTTCGGGCTGCATCAAGACCAAGAGACCGCGAGACCGGGGTGGAAGACGGCGACGGATGACGGGTGACGGGTGAAGGCAGAGGCTGAGAGTCGGTCGACAGACAGGTGCGTCGTGCTTTCGACGATCCGCGAGCGAGCATTGACGGGAGACCAGGCCCTAAGACCCCTGCCGACTGCTCGACCCACTTGACTTGAAACGGACGCGTCCACCGCTCGCCCGCCCTTTATCTGCTCGTGCGCTCTCAACGCGCTCAAGATTTCTCCCGCCTGCCGTCGGTCTCAACGACGCTGGCCTCGCGACGCCGTCGTATGCCCACCGCTGCCCCTGTACGTTTGCTCTTATTTATCGCCGGCTTCGTCCCTCTCACACCCGATTGTCCACGATCGTCCGAACCCTGGCTCCACGAATTATAGGGCCTCACGAAATCCCATGAACGCGGGGAATGGCCACATCCCAGCCAACGGAGGTCGCTAGTCTCGGTCGTCGAAGTCGAGATTTAAGGCGAAGTAGTAAGTGCGAGTTGGTCCTTGCCCAAAGTCTGCGCTAATCGGCTTTTACGGTGGCCCTGCCTCTGTCGTCTACAACGAGGGTGGCCACCGTGCAGGAGAGGACGAGCGCGATAGCCCTCAGGAAGACAATGTGTCTATTCTCTCCTCACCATCGGACCGTGTTGGACCATCACGCTCCATGTCGCAGACCCACAACAACAGCAGGTACCCCTCTGCCTACGCCCCGCCCCCAAGTCACTGCCCCGCCCCTCGAGTCCCCCGTCACTTCAGGCCGAGCGTTCACGGACGGCCGCGCTCCCGATGGCCCGCGTCGTCCCTCCGGCACCATCCTGACGATGGCGACATGCGCGGCCTGCTCCACGACGTCGACGCGCGCCGGTAGACCCCGTCCGTCGTCATACGGGCTGCCCACCTCCTCCCCGATTCAGCGAACCTGCCCGTTCTCCGCCTCAATCCCACCTCCAAATCAGCCCCACCCATTCTCCATGCACGTCAACGGCGGAAAATGCTATTCTGGGGCGAAGGCAACCCAACGTAATCCCCGTTCCCTCCCAAGTGCCACTGGTCGCGCTCCCCTACCGATACTGCTGCCACCCGATTGGAACAAAACGCACAGGGTGGCTCTTCGTCAGCGGGCGGCATCACTACCTGGAGCCGTGTCGCATCCCGGCATGGTCTCGTTCGCGTCTGCTGTCCCTCCCGATTGGCCCACTTGGGTATCCTTCAACAGAACTGTCAACTTCTTCGAAGACGCCTTTGACTAGGAATACAATGTTCGCATTCCCACTTTTTTGGACTGGTTGGAGAGGGCACAAACGTAGCTGGAAGCAGCTCCGAGGTCGTTGTGGTTACCTCACGCTCGCCTGGAGATCCGCATGGTACCCACCCGACCTCAAGAGGCCCGACTGCCTATGGGAGTATCTTCCTGCGCAACTCGACGCCCTGCACCACGCCCATAGATGACATCAAGACACACTTTCGCCCGCCCAACCCGACGCCCCGGTCCCGAATCATCCCGGCACCAGTCACCCAACCCGGCCCTGTGCGATCTTTCCGTCATGTCACGATGGCAACCACAATTGCGGCGCTTCCTCCCCTCCCTTTCCCAAGCCATGTACTTAGTAGCGTTTGGACTTTGCTCCTCAAATGACTCCAGTCCTAGAAGCTGTCGCTTAGTCGTGGCGATCGGTCGACGGCTGTAGGTCTATGCATGACGCACGCTCCGTTGTCAGGAACGTGTACGTATTTTCCATGATTTTTGCACCGCGCAAGAGGATATCTGAGACAGGTTTGCAGGACCGATCCCTCGCGTCAAATTGTCAACTGGGTTGGCATTAACGGCACGCCCTGGTGGGTCAACGATCCTCCAACTCCGCTGTCCCGTTACACGTGTTATTCTCGTTCATCATCCCTTGACTCCTCCTCAACACACTTGTCAGTCTTCTGTATGACAAGCTATAATATGTGTTCGTTGTTGTCGGTCGTAGTGCACTAAATTCACTTTGTTTTCCCCCTCATCTTCTTCATTTTATACGTTAGCCCCACCCAAGTACGGACTTTCCCTCTGGCGCCAGTCACCCTTCGGCGCTGGTGCCACTAGTTTGCCTTTGTTCGTCTGTGACAAACCAAACCCGTGCGATGCTATCAGAACTGCATCATTGCTCACTTCCTGCCCTCCACGTCTACAATCGCGCCGCTCTCCGCGTCCCGCAATCGTTCCGTTTACAAAGGTTTGAGTGCGTTCCCCTGGATCCTATGCGCTGCTGAGGGTGCATCACCATTACCAGATGTATGAATCTGACGACGCCGATGAAGCGGCACAAACCCGCATGGAATTGGCCGATGAGCGAGCTTTAAATAAGGCGCTTACCCGACGTATCTCTAACGCTACCAAAGAAATAGTGGGTGTCCGGTATTGTTTCCATCAATCCCGACCATTCAAGGTGTTGTCGTAGGAGCGTTTAGAGCTTCGTCTTCAAGAACGTGAAGAAGAATTAGACTCATTAGATCTTCGTCATGAATCTATGAAGCTCGTACACTCTCAACGTGTGCGCGACTTGACGGAGAAATATCGCGCATCTTCGCAAGTTTTGGTAAGTGTTCTCTATTCTGGGAAGCTGTTGGGATACTGACCGGAGAATAGGAACATACACAACAGTCATCAACGAACGTTGAAATGGAGCGATCACGGTTCGCACGAGAGATCGCGTCCCTTCGGGCGGAGATGAACATTCGTTTGAACGAAGTGCGGGCACAAACCACCGCCTTCAACGATATGCATGCATGTGTTTTTTCTCTCACCGTTTCTGTTATAGCCAAGCTTACTATCAGATCAGGAAGACCTTCGTAACCAGATTCGAACGTGGTTTGAAGATCTGGCCTCGAATGTCAAAGAATCCGTCGATTCGATCGACGCCAAAGTTACAGAATGCTTCAATGTCGAACACGGTCTACGGGAGGTCGTGAAAAATCTCGTAATGGAATCACACGTGGATGAACTTGGTGCGCGTCTACTGCAGTACGCACAACTTTTTGTAGTAGGCTGACGGGGGCCACCGCCACTTGGATGGCAATAGTGAACAACCAGATGCTCTCCTGTCTTTCCCCTCCGAGCTTCCTACCACCAGACTCAGCGATCGACGGTGCAAATCACGCTGAGCTGACGTTCTCGCTCAGTCCTGATCTCTCTACGGCCCCGACAGAAACACAGTGTGCCTCTGAAGAACCCGACGCGCATGCACAACCACCGCCTCGTGCATTAATCGGACAGCTCCCATCTTCCTCGAGCGGCCCTACAATCATTACAGACGAATGTTCGACTGAGCATTTTGCGTCTACCTTGGGATTCCCAACGACATCGCCCATAATGTACCATCCG